CGTAAAACAGCATTGTGCAATCCCATTCCGCTCTGTTTCCGTTTATCATGGTGGCCAAAAGATGAGCATTTCTTCTTTGATTTCTTAGAGACTCGCCGTTGTAAAAGTCCGTTCCATTCTGGGCCAAATCTTTCCATTCTCCCAATGGTGTGGATTTATATTGATTGTCCCATTCACGTTTAAAAAGCTCTCTGAGGCCTTCGGCTAGTATATCAGTGGTTACATAACAAATTCTGAAGTAGTTCAACTGTTCTTCGGTGTAGTTCTTTGAAAAGGCCATGTGTGACAAAATGCCGAGGCTTGGAACCTTTGGAAAAATAAATCAAGGAACAAGAAACAACTTGATGAACGTTGTAGGGAAAAGAAATACAGGATCTCTTAATATGATTTAAGCGAAATAACTTCTGTTGTTCTAAATTGTCGTTACTAACTCGATCGATGTCAATCAGTAAAGCCTCGTTTACTAAATATAGCAGGTGTTTCTTGGTTTAGTATTTTGAGAAACTTCTCAATCTACGCTAACAAGGAAAAAAATGTTTTGCTCGCAAAGGAGAAAAAATCTGACGTAAAATGCTTTACTTTTAAACTTGCCTTCGTTTTTGCATTTTAAGAATAGAATCTAACATCTTTTAAGAGACATATAACAAGGGAGTCGACTATGGTTTAGGCGCTGATGTGAATTGCAGCAGCATGATTAAAATCATGTCGAAATTCGTGTTAAAAAACTGTTTAATATTCATCATCTGTAAACTTCCTTAATATATTGTTACTTTTATTAATTTCCTTTGATAGTAATTAAATCCGTCGCCGTAATTTTTTCAGGCATGTTAAGGCATGGGTCACCTCATAATTTGCATAATTTGGCGAAGTAGCATTTGAAACGGATTATTTTGATGAGTCGTCATTAAACTTGGCAGGCAGTTTTAGCTCGGTGGAATAACAATATGTGACATATTCATTGTTGAAATATAAGTCACGTGACCTGCAAACGATCGGTAACGTTCAAAGTTTTCAAATTAAAATGGGGGAAAGGAAATGAAAGAGAAGCAATTATTGTTAGGCACCCGTGTTTTTCCCATTTCCTGGATATTATGAAATAGCCCTGCATGTATGCCTGAGTGGAGCAAGGATTACGAAATAAGGAAAAACAGGTCACGTGACTTATAAAATACTTTAATAACTCGTAATAAAAATGCTTGAATCCACCTTGCAAGGCTAATTGACAATCCAGACAGTTTCGCTGACAATTTGATGACAAGTATTTTTAGGCTGAAGTTTAACAACCTTACCGCATTTGAGAAAACAGGTTTTGTGACGTCATGATCCAAGGAATGTCTCGTGATGCTTGGAGTGAATTTTCCAAAACTATTTTAGCAAGATATGTCTTATCATATCTTTGTGGAACCCTTTACTTGGATCCTTCTGTGTCATTACAGAGGATCTTTGCGTTCTCTGCCTTTCAACCCATGCCTTAATAACTTGCCTGAGTTAGTTCATTGAGGCTTAGTTAACATCATGAGCTTTATAGTTTCCCTTAGGCCTCCTCGCCATTACTTTCTACACTTTGTATGTTTTTGTTTTTGTAATCGGCCTGTAATTCATCTGTGTGGTAAAATAAATACAAAATCAGGATACAAATACAAAATATACTAACCTTGAGCGCAAGCACTGTTTATGACTTGATTTAATTTGAAGAACAGAGTTAAGTCTTCTTTTACGTACTTCTTTAAACAGGTTTTCTGTTCGTCTGTGGAGGATGGAAAGAGGGGCAAAGGAAATAAATGAAAGCAAGAAAGAAAGGTTGAAATCGTTTCGCATCATGCGCCAAAAACAAAAATACAGAACTCTTAACTAAATCTTAGAGGAGTTGCAATCTCATTTTCACCCATTTCTGTGATATGTTAATTGGGTTTTCTCTAGATGCTGGTCACTAAAATCTTATTTGAGCGAAGATGGGAAGAATTTTTAAAATGTTGTAAATTCGAAATAAGTCCATTGGGGTGCTTTCTGGGTCGGAGTAGGGACTTGCACAGTGCAAGACGACTGAAACGTAATTGACTTTAATCTAAACATATCTTCAATCTGCGCACCTATTATGCATTTGAATGTGTTAACTTGCATGCAAATAGGGTACACCAGGCGTCTGAAACATTGATCTGTTTCGCTCTGACCCTGTAGGATTTAGAAGCTGACAACAAGCTCCGAGGGGGGTGAGGGGGGTGGGGGGCACTCCTTTATTTGACCTATACGGGTGTGTGCCGATGAGACAGGGTATGGCTTTTAAGGTCTTGAGTCTTTAACAGGGTATACAATTTCACTATTAAGCGTCTTGGACAGGGTGTCTTTTTGAAATGGAAGCCTTTCAAAGGATGTGAAGACTTGCGATGAGCGGTCTACATTTGCAATACCAATAATTCTGTATACAAAACAATACAAATCAGGGTCAGAAAGTAGTGTCTCCTGTCTTAAACAGGGCAGCGAAATGAGCAATATTTATCTTAAACAGGGTCAGGGTTTGAAGGCCTTGGCGGCACCTCCCTACCTAAACTTCCCTTGAGTGCCCCCCCGCGCGCAACAAGCACAGTATTTACCTCAAAATCCTTATAATGGATAGATTATCTGGGTTTCAATGTCGGATCTGCAAGTTTATTCAAAAGAAGAAAACATTTTATGATATGCATGGCGTATTTACACTTCTTAATGTCTACTGTTTTCAAGTGCTCAAGTGCGTAATGCATATTGAATCGTCGCTGTTCCCCCTCTTCTAATTAACCCTGCATCTCAATGTCTTGTAACAAAAATAATTGATTGCCATATCTCATTCCCTTGGGCGGAAACGGAAGGGGGGGGTGGGGGTGGGGGTTATTCATTGAGCACAATCTGGTTAAAATAACATAAGGCGCTGGTGTCGTGAATTTATTTCAGGAATTTATACAAAACGATTTGGGATGGAATTGTGATCTGATTGAGCCTAGGCGTGGCGAAAACTTTAAATTTGTTTTTGTTTTTTAGCGTCATTGATCGAAAAGTAGCGGAAACGTGTGGAACCATAATATAGTGTTGGGGTCATGTGCTTGCTTTCCGCGAAAAACGTAGACATATCGGTTACCGTATTCCTTTTGTGTTTTTTCCCAAACTAATTGCGGTAGAGTTAACAAAGAGGCCGTTTTATGAGTACCACTATGTTCATAGTCTCAGCTTGACAAAGTCACATTTTTTGCCTTGCTAATGCATGCCTTACTGTATTATTTCAAAACATCATTGCCTCACAAAACAGTTCTCTGTTGTACGTTGTCTGCACCTCAAGACAAGCACACAAGGCGCAGAACAAGATATGTATTTTCAGTTTAGCCGGAGACGATTCAGACACCAAATGGCCCATCCTTCAGTGCTAATGTGAAAGCAAATGTTCACCCCCCCCCCTACCCTCACGATCTTCTGTTTGAGAATATGGCAAACAATACACATAGAGAACCGTTAATAGTTCGATTCTGAAATGGCCGTCGCTATAGACTTCTTGTCTACTAATTGTGCACTTACTTGGGGGTTTTTTCACTGTGGACTGTTGCCGTATATTCCGGAATGGAATCAGTGAGAATCCAGCTGAGGGAGAAAAGAGATGGACACAGTTCGAGTCGAAAGTGAAAGCAATCTGCGGTACTTTACCATGCTGTGACGTCTTAAGTGTTTTGCATGTTATTAGTTTTCGTCAAATATGCGCATTGACCCCTAACATACTTTTCCCCTCACCGCCCACGCAAAGGTCATCGTGATTAATAAGTTAATGTTTAAGATGGACACGCGCCAGTAGAGTCTAAAGTCAACTACCTATTTTTATCATCCTGTTTTTGAGTCAATGCTCATTTACCGGTACAAATTTTTCCTCTCAGAGTAATC